GGCCATTAGGCCTCTAGTAGAGCATGTCAATGAGTGCTGAGTCTTGCTCTGTTTTCACATGCAGCCACTTTACTATGTGGTAAGGATGGAGGGGGGTGATAAAATGTAGCCTTAAACATATATATATTTCATCATAAATATCTGTATTTTCTTATCAGAATAGCGCTGTTTGTGTGGCGTGTTGTAACATTTGATACAGCGGTTGTTTTCTTACAGTTGCACGTGAGGAGGTTGGGTCATTAATTGGTGCTGTTGTTCTTTCATGCAGACTAAGAGCGGAGGGGAGTGAGTCATCATCAATCAGGATGAAACACTCTGACATTTGAGCATGAAAGTCCCAGAGTGCCTTGCGGCCCCACATCGCTGGATATGTTTGTATTTTACAGTAACGGAGGTATGTACAGCAATGTGGTCTGAATGGGATATTTCTCTTTGTTGATACTCGCCAAGTGTTGAGGTCATGTAGGTAATAACCACATTACAGGGCAAAGCAAATAATGAGGGATGTGGGATATACAAATATTTATGTAAACAAGGAGGTGTGTGTGTTATTTAGATTGGATCTTTCTGTTCTGGGGAGTGGATGAAACTAAATGGGATGATAAGCTGTGAGGTGAGCAGGGAGTAAGCTGAAAGGGACACAGAGGGAAGATAACCTTGATTGCTGGAATCACTCTGCCGATCTCTTCAATATATCCCCGTAGAGGACAAGAGCACGCCGACTCTTCTCTGCCATGGTAAAAAAGAAAAAAGAAAAAAAAAAAAAGCCCTCAAAGAATGTGCGTGGTAAATGAGTGACAGTATATCATGCTCCTGTTTTTACAGAGAGCACTTGAGAGGATCATTGAAGTTTGCTGAGAGCGTCGGGACTCTTTCTCAAGGGCAGCTGGCTCTATCATCTGCGGTGAATGCGACGCGTAGTCCTTCTCTAATCAGAAATATAAAATCTTAGCATTCAGCATGCTGACTAGACTAGGTTTTACAGAGTGTGAAGCCTCACTTTTCTGTCCAGCGCAGCAAAACATCAGCATACAGGCCACAGAAAGAGACACAGGAGGAGGTTAGGGAGGGAGAGAAAGATGGATAAGGTAGAGGAAAAGGAAGATAAGCGGCCAGTGTGTGTGTGTGTGTGTCTGGATGTGTGGGGTGCGCCTTTACTAGTGACTTCCTCGGGGCCTGGAGACAGGGGAAACAAGGAGTGATTAATTTTACTCCAACCTACTTGGCCTCTGTCTGGGGGAGCAGTCCCCAGAAAGTCCAATACAGAACAGTGAAGCCCGTCTTCTTCCTCTCAACTCCCTGGATCAATACCAGATTGGCAGGTCAATCTCTCCAGGAGAGAGTGCGCGGCCAATGAGAGAGACCCTGAGCGGCTGAGACCCGCCTCTTGTCTGCCTTTTCTCACTGTTTGGAGGATGTGCGGAGCTTGAGGTCATTGATCTGTGTGTTTTCACTGAGCAGATCCCTATTGATCAGCTCTAATAAAGAGTGGATTCTCTATAAGCATCGCAGTGTGTTCAATGAGATCCGAGGCCCCAGGGTGGCAATCACCTCTTTTATCTGCCACTATCGGCCCACAACCATCACCATATACATTCAGGCAGATGAAAATAAATTTGCATTTAAAGGTCCGGTGTGTAGGATTTAGGGGGATATATTGGCAGAAATAAATTATAAAATAACAAGTATGTTTTCCTTAGTGTATTATCACCTGAAAATAAGATCAGCTGTGTTTTCGTTACCTTAGAATGAGCCATTTATATCTACATAGGGAGCAGGTCCTCTTATACAGAGATTGCCTTGTTGCATTGCCATGTTTCCACAGCAGTGCAGAGCAGACAAACCAAACACTGGCTCTAGAAAGGGCCATTCCCATTTTTTTGCATTAGTCACCTCAGTGGAGAGCATTGGAAAAACACTGATTTTTTTTTTAATGTGAAACTGCTTTATTCAGTATTTTTACTGGTTTAAATCACCAGGTTCATTTATTTTGGAGAGGAAGACACCTCTATCTACCTCTGCAGATAATTCGGCCTCTGGTAAAAAACCTCCTGAGTGTCTGGATCTTAAGTTATCAGAGAAAAAAGGTGAGCACACATTAGCAAGTGCTGGGCTTAGCAGCCTGTCTGTGGCATCCCGAACAGTGTTGGCAAAACACTGACTTGTAATGGGACACTGCTTTATTCAGTGTTTTTACTGGTGTATATCACCTGGTTGGTTTGTTTTGGAGAGATAGAGACCTCTGCGGATAATTTGGGTCTTGGTAAAAAACTTCCTGAATGTCTGGATCAGGTTAGCACACATTAAGTTGTCAGTGAAAAAGATGAGCACACATTAGCAGTTGCTGGGTAAGTGGCCTGTAAGCAACATGCCACTGCTTTATTGAGTGTTTTTACCAGTTTAATACTGTTGTTTTTTTTTTTAAATCACTGTTTGTTTTTGAGAGGCAGAGACCATTGCAGATAAACTGGCTCGCAGTAAAAACCTCCTGAACAATGTACACTGAAGGAAATCTAACCGAGAGAAGTTTCAGCTGGTTGAAATGAGTTCTCACTGCTAAATCCACCTAAATCTTCCACAGTTCTTTCAAACATTCTGTATGTGACTCTGGAGAAAGATGATTGTTGAGTCTTACTCCCAGGTCATCAGATACTGATGCTTTAGGTTGGCGGCCAGACTGAACGACCATCCTCGTGTTATATCCACCACCTTTTAAGATATTAGTGTGACAAAGTCAAGTGTGACAAGGCTGTACGTCAGAAATTATTGCTTAACTTAGTTGCCGATCGTCTCTTGGTCCCAGCAATTGCAGAGCACCTTGAGGCATCCTATCCATCCAGAGAAACATCTCCACCCCCTGATGTTTTGTTTGCACAGATAAAACCTCCTCTCTGCTCTCTCCATTCGAGAAAAGTACATATTTGTGCATTAACTCAAAATTAAATTTACATCTATTTTTCTTTCTGCGGGCCCCGTGAGCCAGGTAAAGTGAGACAAGTTTGCCTAATGTATGTTTGAAAGGAAGGAGAAAAAAAGGGGTGGCTGTGAGTCAGCAGAAATGTTTAGTGTGAATCAGCCAGGCTACATCACTCTACCAGGATCTGTTTGTTGTTATCATTTGTGTCATGATGGGAAGTATGGTACAGTAAATTAATGGGCAAGAGTAGCCATCAATTAAGGTTATTTTTCTCCGCATAGGGAATAATAATAAATCAAAGCACGACCGTCTCCTGCTTCTCTGCCACAGATTTGTTTAGAGGGGGTGGATGAGGGGGAGTCACTTGCTCAATATGTCTCAAAAACTAGTAGCTCTGGGGAATAAAGGCAAAGTTTTTTTTCCTCCGCTTCCCTAGGAACAAGCCTAGATATTTGTTCTGACTGAATGATCCGTGACATCTATGTACATAAGCAGGGGACCGCTGCTGTGGCTCTTCATCCTCGCCATCAGGTGGTTTTTCCTCTTCTGCTGAGGTCTGTGCCCCGCAGTGTGTCCTTTCTACCAAAACAGCCCCGTCTTCCCTGTCAGCGAAGAGACAGAAATGCTGCGCAGCAACCCTGCCGACTGCTGTGTGGCTCTCTGTAGCAGAGCACCTGCGTGTCCCCTGCTGACCGACAGAGCCAAGGACAACACAGCCACAAGACCGGCTGTCTCTACCCGTGTCCAGCAAATGAGCTAAGAGACATAAGACTCCCCCTAGGAGTGTCCTTAAACTGGGCTTTAACTGGGATACAAGTGGAAAAAACCCAAAGCCTTGAACACCTTCACCCCATTTGGTGCCAAGAAACGGAAACACACCTGGAACACATCACATATAAAGCTATGAATCTTTATTGTGTGTTCTCTGTGGCAAGGACACACCTCAAAAAATGTTTTGTTTAGGTGCAAATGTGTCACACCTACTGTGCCCTCCAGTTGAAATGGTAAGATCAGAGAACAAACAGCAGTGCGGGAAAGGTAAAAATACAGGTACAGGTGCACACGCGTGCACACACACACACCGAGCTGATAGAGGGAGATATTGACTTCTCCGGGGGGTAACTTCATGCTGAATTAGATTTACTCTGAGGTTTCAGTGCATCTCTCCTCCTTGTTTACCATTACAATGAGCAGTATCTGACTCACGTCCAGAGGAAAAAACTTGCTCCACTAAAATATACCATATTAACAAGCTTATGATTATTCAGAGGCTTCTGGTTACGACAAAACAAGGAGACGTGCCCTGCCCCGAAACAATAGCTAGGTGTCTCCAAAATGAGTTTATTAATTCTCCTTGCATTCATTTAAATGTTCATCCACTGGACCAGATGCGCTAATAAGTAGAACAAATGTAGTTGGAGAGGAGCCCCAAGGTGATCTGCTGAATGTTTACACTCCACTTAATACAATCCGCCCCTCTAGAGTCATGCCTCTAATTATCAAAATAAAGGCTTGATTCCTGCCCATGATGCCGAGTTTTGAGGAGGACACAGCGCGCCGAGAGTGGACATGAGGAGGAAGAGGAGGTGGCCTGATGCGCGCCCCCGTCTGTCGCACAAAAATAGGCTGTTTGAACGGAGGAAGGACCGCTTGTGCCAACAGCTGAGTCAAGTGTTACAGATAGGCTGGATGGATGCAGGAAGCGGGGCGATTGGACCTTCAAAATAAAATCTCACCTGGAGAAAAGTCCTTGAAGTGTTGTGCCAAGCCTGTGCGTCAAAATGGACAGTTCACAACTGGCAGCTGTTTCCCCAAATTGTCCTGGTGTTATGTGTTTGTAAAGCAAGTGTAGTACCCCTGGGTAGTTTAAGGTCATTTCCATGTAGTAGCTATGTGCTCTCATTGAGGCCTTTTGCTGAGAATACAGTCATCAAAGAAGATTTCAAACCCATTTTTGTTTGCGCTCTTCTGTCACTTTAAAGCCAAATATCACCCTGAAAATGAGAAATGGTTTTATTTTGAAAACCGACATGGGAACACTGTAATAGTGTGGTGTCTGGCTTTACTGTGTATGGTTGTTACATTGGAGAGAGTGGGAGAGAAAAGGAGCAAATGTGCGGCGGCGGAGAGGGAGGGAGGACAGCGAGTGCGCAAATAGGCAGGCAGGCACATCAGCAGCAGCGGCAGACCATCTTCCTGATCCTGATCTCCCGTGTCTTCAGCTGCCAATCCTCTGCGCGTCCCTGATTGAGATTTCACTGCCGGCTGAAGTGTCCAGAAGCCTCCGCCAACCATCACCTCCCACAACACACTTTCTCCGGAGCTCGGTTATTCTTAGCTCAGCTGCGAGAGACTGTCCTTCCGGTCCTTCTCTTATTTATCCCAGTTTCTTGAATATTTAATGGAAAATGGCGATCTGCGCGCAGTCGTACGGTATTTTCTGCCTCTTCACAATCCAAACTGTACTTATCATATGCGTCTCCACGCCGACAGACGGGACCCACCTCTTCCCCCAGCACTACACGTAAGTACCTTGCACCGTTTGGGGGATAAACCGGGGGGTGCGGAGCGCGGAACTAGGACAGGTGGCCCCGCCAAGCCTGACACATGCGGCGCCGTGTACCTTGGTGCGAGAGCAGCTGATGTCCCTGATGTTGAAACACAAGAAGACGCAGTTTCCGTCTCTGGTGATGATGATGATGCCGCGTTATGAATCTCGCCCTCATAATGTTGTTGTTTTCGTTGTTGTGGGCAGTGACATTTAATACCCAAAGCCTTATTCAATTTGTCACAGTCAACATGGAAACAGGCTACAGGGAGCGTGCACAGGTGCCACTGGCGAACAAACCAAGCGAGCAGGAATTTATTAGAACATCCACAGGGATAAAAATAAAAATGATAGTGATAATAGTCGATGTGTTGTTTTGCTGTCACCGCATGTGGGGGGAGACTATCCCATTTACGCATGATGGATAGGCTGAGGCTACAACAAGGCTAGTCTGAAAAAGTCCTCCACTGGATAGTAGTGCACACGCACCGTGGAAATAATCACCTCTATCCCACAGCAGGATACGCTGGTGTTTTTAACAGGATGATTTTGATTCAGAGACTAAACCAATTAGTTAATGCCGCAGGAGCGTCAGGTCTTTCTCATCCACACTCCAAACTACTTGCTTTGGCTCTTGTTTTAAGACAAATGGAGCAATATGTCTTTAAGATTGATATCTGGTCATGTTTTTGCAGTGAAGTTTCTTGTAGAAATATTTATAATTGAAATTTAAACGCATTTTAAAGCCAGTATAAGAGTGTTGCTTTATGCAAGCAGTTGGAAAGTAGCAAGTGACCGCAGGCTCAGAAAGTAGCTGAGCACCCAGCTGTGTGTAAACTATAGTTGGACTTTCTCAGCGTGCACCTGTTGGGAGATGCAGTGACAAGTCTGTAGTAATATTTGAACTTAAAGCGCATTTTCATCCAAAATGCGCACAGTGTCACACTTTCACCTTGAATGACACACGGATCCAGACTGAAACATCACGTCTGCACACGCAGCGGTTCTTCTACTTCTGCGTCGTCGGACTATCCAAGCAATGATTAATTAGGTTTTTTTAAGTGATCGGTGCTTCGTTTGAAATGCAGATCAAATGCAAATGGTCCAGTAATAAACCCGGTGAAGCCAAGGGTGCAACAGTTCCTCACTTGGAGTCTACGTGATGACGTGATGCTCTGATGTGAACATGATGTGTAGCCTGTAGTGATGATTAATCAGTCAGGTTCACACAAATGAAGAATCGCATAATGATTCCTCTGGGATGCGTCCAGCGGGTGATCTCTTTGTTGTTCCTGATGGCCAAGGTGACTTTCAAAGGAGAATCACTTGTATCACAGCTGACTGATTTAAAGGACAATTAGCTGCATCATTGATCACTTGAGCACCATGAAGAAAAGTGATGTGCATGGTTTTGCAAAGGAATTCACGTGGATTTTAAAATTATATTTACCCTATTTTAATATATTTTATAATCTAAACCTGTCCTTAATGATCTCAGTTAATTTTTTATATTGCTGCCGCCTCTTCTTTCCCCTCCAAATACACCTCATGTTATCCAGAAGTGCTACTATTTGTTGTAACTATACTGGATTACAGTTACTACTGTAATTAACCATGTTAATCTAATTAGATAAGATAAATAGACTAGCCCTGGAAATACTATAGTCAGGCATCTCTTGGGTTTTAAAAACTGGGTTTTGTGTCACCCACATTGCTGTGCTATTTGCCAGAATTTGACAGTTAGCTAATTGAAGTCTATGGGGAGCTGCTGTGGCCGTCCGTCGGGTGTATAGGCCTGACACACACCGGTTGGAGCGTGTGTGTGTGTGTGTGTGTGTTGGAGGTCTAGCTGGGAAAATGTGTCCATAAGAAAGGTCAGAATGTCCTCTAGTTCATTTTTATAGCAGTGCCAAGCCTATATTTTTTACACCTTCCTACCTAAAAGCCGGGTCTAATTTTTATGTAGTTATTGGATTGCTGTGTGTGTGTGTGTGTGTGTGTGTGTGTAGAGGAAGAAGGTGTTTGCTTGGGGGAAATTATTTCTACATTTCTAAATTACATGTAGGAAACCTGTTTCGATAACTCATATCTAAATGTACAATCTTTTCCAGGAATGTAAAATATCACTTAACTGAGAGCCGAGAAACTCAGAGCAATTTCCCCCAAATTTTGTTATTTTCACACACACGAAAATAGTCCACCTTTTGCCCTTACAGATATTCCAGCGTCGCACTTTGTAATGATGAGATCCATTGCAGCAGAGCGAACGTGGCGACAGCGTGGGACTGACACACGGGTCGTCCATCCAGACTCATTTCATCACATTTACCCATAATGTCTCGCTTACATAAATGATAATACATCAAAAACGCAGGTGCCAAATAGCAAAGTTTTAATACTGCACCAGACTACAAAGAGCCAGAGAGCATAATTCGGCTTTCATGTAGAGCGCAATGACAACTTCTGTGCTTCTTAAGAGAGATCACAGCTTTCACAACACAGAAGGTCTCCAAGAATTCATTGATCATCAGGCCTCAGCAGTGCATCTAATTTACCAAACAAGCATCTCCTCATATCTCTGTGGCTGTTAGTGAATGGAGAGTTCTGCTCATTTGGGATTGTGGAGTAGTTTTCTCCTTTGATTCACAATTAGTCCAATGTAAATCTTGAGTCATCATACAACATTGTACAGCAGAGCCTCTAAATTTTGGGCTAACTGTATGTGATCTCCCCTGATGCAGGTCAGTTGTTTTAAAGGAACAGTATCCTCCAAAATCTAATCTGTGGTGCTGTTTGATGTGAGTTGCAGAGTGTTGGAGATATCGACCATAGAGATGTCTGCCTTCTCTCAAATATAATGGAACAGACTTGTTGTGAGCAGTTTCATGTAGGAGCTATTTTCTTTTACAAAACTAAACCTGTCAGCCGTATCACTGCACAGACAGAAGCGTGCAGCTACTGCTAGCTCACCTAGCACCACTGAGCTAGCTAACATTACAACTCATGCCACTAATGTTTACATCTTGTGATGTCATGAGCACGAGCCTCTCGTCCATGAGTAGATGCACACTTCCTTCTGCACTCTACAAGCTCTGTGGATTATCTTGAGTAGCCTGGTCATGATTTCTGGAAAGAGACATTGCTGTTGAGTTTGTCAAATATATTTTTTGGCACTTTGAGCACCACAAGCTGAGTGCCATCTAGTTCCATTATATTTGAGAGAGAGAGGGCAGACATCTGTATGGTCGATATCTCCAACACTCTGCAGCTCAGACCAAAACAATCTGTACTGTTAAATAGCACTACAGGTAAGAGGAAAAATATGAAGTTTTGATTTTGGGGTGAATTGTCCCTTTAAGGCTCCATATTCGAATCCTTGCTACTTGTCACTGGGTCATGGATATCAGTCTGTCTGCATAATTAAGTATGTCATTGATTAGATTTGACGTATTCAATGTAATGAAACAGATTTAGAAAATGGAAACACCAGGAAGGAGGAGTGACAAGGCTAATGTGTGCAGGTGTATCTGTACAGATCATACATGTCTGGATTTACTACCTCTATCGCGATACAAAACAGAGTATCTGTTTTTGTTTTTGTAAGTATTTTGCTTTTGCGATACAGTTGAAAGGAAGATGTTATTGGACTCAGCTGTCCGTCTTTTCCCTTCCAAGGTATTTCAGGGTTGCACTCGGATCCATTGCGGCAGGATGAACAGTGTGAGGCTGACACACAGGTTGTCCACCCAGACTCATTTAATTTTCTTAATTGTATTTGACCGGGGAGGGCAAGATGGGCAAAATGAATATAGCAGTAACTATCACTTTTTTTTATTATCTTTAACTGTATCTTTTGATTTATTTTTTTTTTTTACGCAAGTATTTAATATGACATGATGAAATGTTTAATTTATATTCATCTTATTAAGACAAATACATTTTATAAGTTAATAAAGAAAATCATTTATTACTAATTTACACATCTGTGAAAAAAAAGATCTATCCATATGAGAATTATGTCACTATTTTTGAATTATTGCCTGGCTTTAGTTATAGCTGAGGGAACTGAACAGGGATTACCTTTGATACCTGCTCGGCCTTCAAGTCATGATTATGGACAATACAATACAGTTAATATCAAATCTAAAATAATAACAACATTGTGCTGCTTGACTTCACTAAAATTCCACAGCTCTAAGATATATGTGTATTTACATATATGTACAATACAAGTCATTATGTTGGACCCTCTTATTGCATGTCACTCTGTCAAAGCTGTATATATATATATATATATATATATATATGTATGTGTGTGTGTGTGTGTAGACTAAATTAAGTTGCGTAAGAAGTCTGCCTGGCTTGGGGCAGAGGTATTGTCCCTCACTGTTAGTATCACTGCGTCCTGCTCGGCTCTGCTCTCACTGTAAGCTTGTTTTCATTTCATATCGAGGTGACCTTTTCATAGTCGGCGGCCTCTCCCCAGCGGTCCCGCTCTGCACCGTCCTTTCGGAGGACCTCTTGCTTGCTCTTAATCTCGTCCCTTATAAACACAGCCAGTGCGCACACTTGCTTGGCGTGTTTGCTCTGCTGTTCCTCTCCTGATGAGGCCCACTCCGGCTTTGTGATTATGGCGAGCGCTGTCACTACTTGGCAGATTTGTGCAATTTAATAAATCTGTCTTCCCTCTTGTCTTCTGAGCAAATCTGACATTTAAAGATGACATTTGTTTCAGTCATCATATTAAAAGACAAACGACTTTGTTGTGTTGTTGATGCTAGTGATTAGCTATCTGCAGGCTGCTGAAAGGAAAAGGTTGGCACGGAGTCAGTGGTTGGCTCGCAAACACATGACAGAATTTATTCATCTGATTGCTGAAAGATGGGCTTTCATAATGTTTTTTCCTTTTTTTCTGTCTGAGAGAAAATTTCTTGTTGGCCACGCACATAGATTGTTCATCGTGTATCCAGGTTGGCAGGTTCGCCCCTGCTACTGCTTTAAAATGATCTAGTGAAAATCTTGATCCATTAAGTCATTTGTTGCTTGCTGGGAGATATACAGTGATGAGCTTGAGCCGTTTGATCTCTTAATTCCAAACTTGGCTCCGTCTAACGGAGATCAGCTCCTGCTTAGGGTGCATTTCTGTCAGACCTGAGCAGTTTTATTGCAGAGCCGCTGATCCCAGCCGAGCCAAGACAGGCACGTTCACCGCCAGTCCTGCCAGGGCCGACCAGATATATGCAAGATGTGATGGGGTGGGAAGCTGCTGATGACTAACCCAGACATTAGGAGAGGTAGGACAGAGACGCGTCCAGATAGGAATCCGGGAAAGGAGGGAGAGTATGGCAGCATGACAACAGAAAGAGAGATACACAAAGATGGGCTGAGAGTCTTTCTGACAGTCTCACAAACACACTCTCATCCAGTGACAGAGAAATGAATGATGATGACATGTTCAGGTGATAATGTTGAGTGATGCACATTGAAAGTGTCTAATTTTATTTTCCAGAATGATTCATTGGGCTGGACGCATCGAGAAGGAGCTGGAAAAGGTTCTGCAGCACGTCACCGGTACCCAGCAGATGAGATCGGTAAGTTGACGTCACGCTCACATGTGACGCAGCGCTTTTTTCTGCATTATTAATAAGTAAAATTTCACGGGGCAAGGTTTTACAACGTAAGCTCCCAAGTGTGCGTCTGTGAGGCAATGTGTTTGTATGAGCACTGCAAAAAATGTTGATCTTTTAAAGATAATTAGGTTTAGTTTTTACTGTATTTTTTGGGATAATTATGCTCTTAGATTTTTTTTTTTCATGTGTAAATGTTTTTTTTTTTTTCAAGAATTTCCTTGAGTCAAATCTCCTGTGAAATCAATCTTATGAAGAAATACACTGCGCATAGAAAGGGAAATGATTTTAACACATTAACAAAATGTTTTGACTTGCTGTAAAGAGCACAAGATTTTAAAGTCCTAACACTAAATTTAGCAGAGCATGGTGTTGGTTGTTTGTGTCTGCATCATCATCATCACATGAGGCTGTGTGTAACACGTGTCTGTCTTGTGGTAGAGCAGATGGTTGAGCAGAGTGTGATTGACACTGTTTCATCATATTTCTGCCATGTGCGCATGTTCGCCGTGCTTCCAGGGTTTGTAATGCACCCTGAGATAAATGCTTCATTATTGCTGTATGGGTGAGTGTGATTCATCCAGCCGGTGCGGTGCCTGTGGCAGCTTCAATGCTAGCAGTAACAGTGGTTAGTGTGATGGCTGTTAGTGTGGTGGCGACATTGATGGATCCCAGAGAGGAGGAAGTGAGTTGACAGTGATCGCGCGGGTGGAAAGGTTAGTGACCAGTAGTGGATCATATCAGACAAACTGCATGATAGAGGGAGGTTGATTTTTTTAGCACTCATCCAGTGTAAACAACATATAACAGAGTGTTTACCCATCAAAATGTTTGTCTTTCGCAGTTTGTGCCAGTAACGTTCCAGTATTCCCATTGAGCAGTGTGGGCAGTAGGCTTCTGTAATGCATTGTTTCAATGTGAAAACATATTGTTGCTGTCATCATATCACAAACAATGAAAAACAATCTTGATCTTTGCTTGGTGACAGTTCCTTTTTTAGGGTTTCTGAATAGGTTTTAAGAGCAGAAGAGGAAGTGGAATTTACTCTACTCATAAGGGAGCATGTCACGGAGGGCCTTTTCACATCTGACAGTCTCAACTATGTTTTGTCTCTCTCGTCATTTCGCAAAATAATTGAAGTGTTATAATTTTTCTTTTTTTTTCAGCTATTTTTTGACAACACCTGTCTTCTCTGAGAGCATCCGCTGTTACGCACTCTTGCTCACTCAACCACACACCTACACACACACTACGCTTGCGTTATCCTCAAAGAAACTACGATAGCCCTGCCAGAACTTCCTCTTGTTAGTCTGAAACTCTGAACCATCCAAAAATATTTTCACACTAGAAACAAACCAGATGATGATCAAATTTGATCCAGACTAAAGATGTGTGTAATTAGTCGGCTAGTCGATTAACATCGCAAGTCGCCACCAGAAATATTCATCGTTAAACTTATTAATAAAAGTATTATTTTATGTGGTTGCGTTCGCCCAGTGAAAAAGCGATTGTACTGTAATAATCCAGCATGTTTCCTAAAGATTGATTTTTCCTAGAAATGTTTGAGTTGTGAGTGAGTGAGTGAGCTGTTGTGTGTTGCAGGGTAATGCATGGTGTAAAGTGCCACATATTTCAGTGGCATTTAAAACATGACTTGGTTATAAAAAATGTGATGAATGATTTCAAATGGTTCTTATAATATTCGTATTAATTTTTTGGCATGGTGTTTACCCTCATAGATTAATTTGTGCTCAATTTTGACAGTTTTCTGAGTGTTTTCTGACTTTTAGATTAATTACCTAGTCTAACTTTAAACTTCAGTTAAACAGTGCTCCCTCTACTTTTTTTTTTTTTACTTAATACATGATACAACTCATCGCACATGCAGACTGTAGTAGTGATAATGTTGATACTCACAGACTGCAACTTATTTTTATTTCCTTTTTTCCTCCTGCTGATTTTTTTCCTGATAAACGGATTCATTATCTTGTCTATAAAATGTTAGAAAATAGTGAAAAATGTCCATCCCAATTTCCTAAAGCCCAGAGTGCTGCCAACAAATTGCTTGTTTTGTCTGACCAACCGTCCAAATCCAAAAGATATTGACTTTACTATGACGTGAGACAAAGAAAAGTCGAAAATCCTCACAAATGAGAAGCTGGAGCTGGGGAATGTTTGGTATTTCTGCTTGGAAAAAAACACTGATTGCTGATTCATTCCTGTCAGTCGCCTAATCGATTAGTTGAGTAATTGTTTCACGCTGTAGTTTTCAGAGGGATGCACTGTATGCATGGATTAAATATGTTATGATGTCTCTTGATTGCTTGTTGCAAAACTTAGTTGTATGTAGTTGAATAACTCTGAGCTTAATGAGACCTTGAGTTGAGATGTGACACTGACATGATGTTAACTGCTCAGTGGGCTTTCAGTTCTGTGAATCTAAACTAATTGAGGCTACATGTTGCTGAGGTTTTCTCTGTGGGCCAAACCCAGCGAAGCCAGTCGCTCTGAAAATATTACGTCCATCGCAGTTATGTCTTGTGTAGGATGCCCATATGGTTGTGTGTGCATGTGTGTGCTGGCCTGACAGTGTGTGCAGGGCGGGTGCGAAAGAACATTTATCATGGCCCCAAACAGGAGTCTTCACAGGGTGTGCTAAATGGCCCAGCATGCCTAGAAAAGCCATTTTCTAAATGGATGCCTCTCTCTATACGTGTGTCTGATAGAAATCTTCCCAGGGCTATGCCGGCTGGTAACAAGATTGCCTCCCTCTGCGCCCCCTTCCTCTTCATGCGCAGTTTATTCTCACAGACAAAAAAAAATGTAAAGTGTGTGCAAATTATTTTTGAGTTTGTCTTACATGAAAAGAGACAAGGAAGTAAGTTGAATATAATGTGGTCTCTCCAGTTTCTCTCGGTTGAGATTTTATTTTTTCTGACAAGCGAGGTAGCGGGTGAAAGAGACAGAAAGGGCCGAGACAGGGCGGCACAGAAATAGCTGAATATGTTTAGATTTGGTCAACTTAAGGAACAACACAGAGACATACATTGTTTTGATTTGTTTTGTGCATACTGCGAGTTTCAGGCATCTCCGAAAATACATAAAACTCAGGTTATTTAAATGTTTAAATCACATTCTAATATATTCTGCCCAGGTCTGGTCAAGTTGTTTTTCTTCCTCGGGGGAGTGAAAGGGAGATAGAGGGTGAGTGATGTATCGGAGGAGTTGGAAGTTTTTCGAATGGAAGAGTGTGGAGCGCGGATAGACAAGTAGAGTGGGCGGCCTTTGGAGCGGAGGAGGGGGGCTTCTTTAGAGAGAGAAAGGATGAAGAATGGCTTGACAATTGAGATGGATGTTCAGGCGGTTTTGTGTGTATATTTAGAGGCAAACTACTTAAGATGGATGAAATGATAGAGGGGAAGGACGAGAATTGGTAAATTTAAATGTGAGCAGACGGATGCTGTTTATAGTCCTTATCCTCCTCATTATCCTGTGTGCTGCTGTGTTTGATGTGTTACAGTATGTGGCGATGAGAGGCGGCGGTGGACACTGGCATTGTTTCCATATCCCCGGGCTTATTCAGAACAGTTTTAATAGGCACACATGAGCAGTGCGCCTTACACCCACGTACTGTCATTACAGCGATTTGATGGTTTATCAGAGATACTGGCAGATAATATTATTATGTGCATATTTAGACACCAGGTGGACAGACATGTTCACTCAACTCACTGTAGCTGTAGGATAACTGTACTCAGAGAGCTGCTCATACACTCATGGTGGAGGATGTATTCAGATAATCAAAGTAGCAGATCTTAAATGTTTTACCATGCAGGATTGTGGGTTTCTGTTTGTTAACACACTCCCCAGGGAGAGTGGAAGTAAAAGCCAACCCCAGATTCACTTGTCTGGTGCTTCGCCTCACTATGTGTGTGGTTTTTCAGTGCTGTGTCTCTTGGATATCTGTTGTTTACAGTTTGGCGCCTGGTCGCTACCCTTTCATAAAGCTCCGACCTCACCTGAGCTATGTGGGGGTGCACGCCCATAAATGTCTCAAACACAGAAAATAAGTAGAAAATAAGAAAATACAGGCAGAGGACAGAGTCTCTGCAGACAAATACACCGCCACACACTTCTAGTGGGTAGTACGTGATGATTGAGACAGTTATCTTCTGTGCGAGTCTATACATAGTTTTTAAGGAAGAAACAGTGTAGTTTATCTTTACTTAAGTTAAGTATTATCATCTAAGTGTACTTACAGTATCAAAAGTAAAACTTCTCATGCTAAAGCAGACCAGCCCCTATAACTGATAAAGAATTTTAATGACATTATTAGTTACTGTTTTAAATGGTCTAGATGGAGCTAGTTCTAACTATAGTTGCGTATAGATTCCCGACCTGAGGGTCAGGCCCCCTGCTGTGAGTCACTAGATAAATCTGTGTTCGTGTGATGATTAATAGGTTAGAGAAGAAGATTAAAAAAGGCTATCCTGCAGAAATTGTGTATTCACTTTCTGGACTTTTTCTAATCTTTGCTCTCTGGACGATATCGGATGAGTTGACCTCTTTGGGCCATGAACAGTTATTTAAATGAAACCATCCGAGACAGTTTAAATGGGAAATCTCTTTTTTGGTGGAACCATGACGAACTGTAAGACATCTGAAACATGAAAAGGATCCCCAATTAGATGCTGCTTTTTTCTGTAAGGACTCATAAGCCAAAAAGGTTGGGATCCACTGAATATTTAACACTACATTGTATTTTAGGGTGCAGTATTTCCCTCTGAAAAATTGTGGAGTAGTGGTATACAGTATCAGTTAATGGACCTATTCAGTGAACTTAAAATTACCCCTCACCCATCTGTTGGCGGGCTCCTGTGTTAAAGCCTCAAGTTTGGCATTTTGGCTGTCGCCATCTTAGATTTTTGGAGCCAGAAATGACAATATTTGGACAAGAGGGTGGA